ATGGCGTTTTAGTCACGGACTAAAGTTAACAACACTGGCTTTTGAGCATTCTAGAGCTGAACTTATTTCTGTTCGTCGTAGATAAAGTATATGCAACTCGTTTTATAAACTTCTCTAGACCTTCGTTTTTATTAAAGACTCGCTCGCAAACTTCGCTCTTACCAAATAAAACTCGTAACTAAAGTGACGTTTATAAAACTTGATACATAATATAATATTATCTAATCCTACATTGACGAGCTCTGACTTTATGGCGTTTTAGTCACGAGGTGAAGTTAGCAATAGTCCCTTTTGGGCATTTTACTCACGGGATGAAGTTGGCTTTATTATAAATTAGAAAAAGTGAGGTTAAATCCGTTAAAAGTTGACAGATGTCAAATGTATTACAAATAAAATTGGCTTTAAATTTTTTTTTGTGTTCGTCTTAGATAAAGTATAGTACTCGTTTAATAAACTTCTCTAGACTCTCGTTTATATTAAACACTCGCTCGCAAGCTTCGCTCGTGCCTAATAAAACTCGTCACTAAAATGGCGTTTATAAAACTTGATACATAATACACTATTAAAGTGCTGCCTAAATAAGCTGTGATTTTCGACTAAAGTATGTAGTTTTTTCCAAATATTTACCATACGGGGCAGTATAAAAAAATTAACGCCAGATTTATCACTTGCCAAAATTTTCTCTGCCGTTTTCTGCCTTTCTCTGCCATTATTCGACTTTTGTTTACATTTACTCTGCCGTTTCTTTGCCACTCAGAGAAACAGCAGAGAAACACTATGCGACAAAGAATGGCAGAGAAAATGTCCGCAAGTGATCTATGAATTAACATGACAATCACGTTAGCAAACCCAAATAATAAATAAATGACGTCAACGAAATGATCTAGGTACAAACATCCAACTCCAAATAAAACTAACTTTAAATAATTATTTGGTTCAATAAAAAGATAATATTGTATAATAAACTTCTCCAAGAAATTAACGCACCTCCGAAAAATGACCAAAAGTTTAAGTCAAAACCAATTCTGAAGTCTGATTTGAACGTTTTTTTTTAATAATAGGTTGTCCCTTTCACAATGTTGGTATACTATTCCGATAGAAACCTCTTTTTTACTAATACCGGGTGTAGCAATTAAAGCGTGTTTTTTTCATAAAATATCTGTAGAGTTAAACAGCTACAATATCAAGTTAGAATTGAAATCAAACTTTAGCCTTATCTTTTTTTTTACATTTTGTTTTCTTATTTACTTCATTATTTTTTATATAACACGAGTAACAACATTTTATATGATTATATTGCAAATTATTAAGGGGGCATCCATTAATTACGTGAGGTATTTAGGGGGGAGGGGGTCGAGCCAAACCTCACACAATCTCACGTAGGGGGAGGGTGGTCTCGGCAAATATCACGTAATTTTTTCTTTACGAATGAAACAGTATAAAATTGCGAGAAAATTGGGTTAAATTAAGTAAACAATTATAAGCAAATTGTTTTTTTAATAAATCTAATTTAATCAATCACAGATTAACTTATTTACATTTAAACCATGCATTTTAAAAAATCTCACGTGAGATTAAGGGAGGGGGAGGAGGTCGAGCAAAATCTCACGACATCTCACCAAGGGGGAGGGGGGAGTCGAAACATCGTCAAAATTGCCTCACGTAATTAATGGATGACCCCTAACAAGAAAAAACGATACAAAATTTAACAAAGCAATTTAAACGAAAGTGTTAGTAACGAGTATTTCCACCTCTGGCACGAATAACTTCTTGACAACGACGGCCCATACTTAAAATTAGAGACCTTATGTCATTTTGGCCCAGTTCTTTCCATATTCGAATAAGTCTCTGCCGTAGGTGTTCCAAAGTGTGCACGTTGTGTTCCTCTTGTAATCTCCTCCCACAAGTGTCCCAAAGATTCTCTATAGGATTTAAGTCCGGGCTCCGAGCTGGCCATGCCATAGTAGCGATTTCGACTTTCTCTAGATAATTTCTCACAACTCGAGCAACGTGAGGCCTGGCCATTATCTTGCATCAACAAAAATCCTTGCCCTATATATGGCGCATATGGAAATACATGTTGGTCTAACACCTCCAGTATGTATCTTTCAGCTGTAAGGCTACCATTTACGATGACAAGTTCCGTGCGACCAGTCAAAGAAATAACCCCCCAGACCATCAGAGATCCTCCTTCAAATAATGTTGTATGCCCCAACATTAGTTAGGGCCCGGACGTCTATAGAGATATTCACGCATACGCCTGTCATTATACTGCCGCGCTAAGCACAGAGGCGGTAACTGCATGATTAAGTAAAAAAGGAAAAACGATAATTTGGATTGTTAAAAACAATATAAAAATACTTGTCCTTTATTACCTAATATTGCAGTTACCGCCTCTGTGCTTATCATGGCAGAATACCTGTTGCAATTCAGCCGCTAACGGTGAACTCCAGTTAAAGATGGACCTCGAGCAGCAATTCTAGGTCTCAAATTATCCTTCCTTAGTCGCTGACGAATAGTTTCTGTACAAGCTTGTAAACCATTACCATCTCGAAGATAAGTTTGAAGGGACCAAGCTGTTACAAAACGTTGTCTTAATGCTAAGAGTCTTAAAAACCGTTCCTGAATCAGAGTGGATTTCGTTTGCTTCCTTGTCCCGGCCTTCGACCATTACTTCTAGTTTTTCTATTTCGTTGTATAACTCGTAAAATGGTTCTGTGAGTTACATTAAATCGTACACCAAGTCTTCGGTAGCTCCAACCTTCCTAAAACAATATTAACCCAATAAACATTTTTCTGACTTCCGACTAAACTTGCACTATGTTCGACGTCGCTTTAAGTGAAAATTGCGGTCGGATAATAACTTTGTATCCGAAGTCATTGTTCGACGTATATTTACGTCGGTTGAACGTCAAGTCGTAACTTTCACTTTGGTTAAAAAAAAATTACGAGAATTGTTCGACGGGAATATAGTCTGGAAGAAAGAAGAAGAAGAAAATAGTATACATAACCAATATTAAAATTAAAAAAAATGCCAAAAGAAAAGAAAAAAAGAATTTTTGTAGTGTTTTCGTCAGCCTTTTTCTGACACACTTTTTTGGCTAGTTGCGGTATAAAATTTTCTTTAGCCAATTTATATGATGGTACATTATCATACTCTTTATATTTTAGGGAAGGTTTTACCTCTCTCTTAGTATTCTTGAAACAATAACTCTCAGTGTCAGAGACATCAGCATCTGAACAAGAGCACAAGGCCCCCATACATATATTGCAATATATGTATGGGCGCCTCGTGCTCTTGTTCAAATGCTAAACTTATTGTTTGCAGCATCCGTGGCAAATTTAAAGGTTGCATAGCCTTGCACTTATATTGCTCACAATTTTTTTTATCGGGAGAACTATTAATTTGTTCTCGAAAGAGAATCGTTTGGCTCACTGATTTGGAACCAGAGTGTCTCCTTTTCTTCTCACCTATGCGGCACGGGCTCCACTTCCCCCTTGGGGCAAATCCTTAACATTTTAAAATGCTCCATAATAACATAGACAACACACAATAATAGTACCAACATTGGACCGAGTTAGCAAAGCTTCCCTAACAGAAAAAGCGCGCAGTTTTTCAGTTTGACATATAATTTTCAGGTTAGGTAGGTCGTTACGAGGGAAAAATGGGTAGTTTAAATGACTCGAGGTCTCAAACTTCGTCGGAAGTTGGTATTTCGAGCTACCGTCGGTTGGTATGTGGACAAATTTTGTTAATTTGTTGACTACGCCATTTTCGCGACAAAACGAGGAGGTGACGATGGACGCCATTAGAGAAAGATTTGCTTTTTTTTAGATTTTTACGGTTCATTGAAATAAAATAACAACTTTTTTATGTTTTTTAAGTTAGTTTTTTAGAACTGGTTCAAATTTTGTTTAAAAAACACATTTTTATTAAAACTTCTTTTTTTGCAAAAATAATTAAATATGCAAAACTGAAAGATTTTTTGAAGCCCACGCATGTTTTGCCAGCAATCATAACCATATTTATTAGTAAAGTGCCTTTCGTATGGATATTTCAATATAGATCACCCGTTAAAAGTCAAATAATACATTACTACATTGTTATACGTGTTCATTCCATAAAGAATCGACATCTTTTGCATTTCTATGTCTTTCTACAATATTGGTAGAGATTAAGTTATTTTATTAACGCACGAATATTTGTTTGTGCAGCTTAATAACGAAATAGGTAAAAAACTCGACTTCAGTAGTCAGCAACCGACGTCGTGACGACCCAAATTCGTTCGCTCCATTTAGGAACCCATTATGGTCATCATGTGAGTCACCCCAGACGACGTCGCTTTTACGTCCAAATGTTTATTGGGAATGCTTGGGCACATTCTTCGCGAGTAAGATGCATATTGATCGATAAAAGGATTGATACTGGCAATAAGGATCAGAATTTGACATTTCGTGTTTTTCCATAGCCTGACTTACTTTAGTTAGTAAAATGCTCTTTAAAACCAATAAAATCATCTTATCCTATAAAATGTTGTTACTCGTGTAATATGAAAGATAATGGAGTAAATAAAAAAACAAAATGTAAAAAAAGATAAGGGATAAAGTTTGATTTCAGTTCTAACTTGATATTGTAGCTATTTAACTCTACAGGGTGTTACAAATTTTATGAAAAAAAAACACGCTACAAAGTATACCAACATTGTGAAAGGGACAACCTTTTATTAAAAAAAAACGTTCAAATCGGACAATTGGATTTAACAAAAATGTACTTTAAACTGTTGGTTATTTTGTGGTGGTTGGTTTATGTATATATATATATATATATATATATATATATAAAGTAAATGACAACTTAGTTTTAAAATAGGAATTTTAATATTTTATGAATATTTTGCGAGAATTTTGTATGTTCCTCGTGGACAAGTATAGGCAATTTTTGTTAATTTTAGTTAAACATAAAAAAAACTCTGAATTTAAAAATTTATTTTTTATTGCAGAAAATCTTGAACCGCTCTAGCAAATGGGCCTTCAACGCATTCACTTTAGAGACCGTGGCTGGTGGACGATCACTGCCAGTATTTTGTGTCCACCTATTTCACTATTACGGACTTTTGGATCATTTCCATCTTGATGTTGTGCATGTCTGGAAACTTTTCAGTAAGTATACTTATTGATTTTAGTAATAATCATGTAAAAAGTGAATTTTTATAGCTCTTATAGAAGAAGGATATCATAGCACTAATCCATATCACAACTCCATTCACGCAACTGATGTTACTCAAGCGATGCACTGTTTCCTTCAAGAATCCAAGGTTAAAACTATTTTAAAAATTATATAATTACAATGTAAAAAGTTATATTTTAGATCAGACAACATTTAACCCCAGTAGAAATAATGGCGGCTATAATAGGAGCGGTGGCTCACGATTTGGATCACCCAGGTGTCAATCAGCATTTCCTCATCACCACGAAAAATCATCTTGCACAATTATATCAGGTAATATTTTATAAATATTAACTGGATTTCTAATTGTAATTTGTACGGTTCTAGAATATGTCCGTATTAGAAAATCATCATTGGCGTTCCGCTGTTGGCTGTCTATTGGAAAGTGGAGTAGCAAATCAATTGATTCCTTATAGAGATGAACTGGAAAAGCAGATACGCGATCTCATTTTAGCCACTGATATTAACAGACAAAACGAATTCTTAACCCAATTTAAAGTAAGTCAAACTTACTTATGTTTGAATGTGCAATATAGTAATCATCATTTTTTTTAGAAACATTTAGATGAAAAAACATTGGATTTAAGAAAACCCGGGGATAGAAACTTTATTTTGCAAATTGCATTAAAATGTGCGGACATTTCCAATCCCACCAGACCATGGGACATATCCCGGAAATGGAGTCTAAAAGTCTGCGACGAGTTCTTCCGGCAAGGCGAATTTGAGAGAAAACTTAATCTTCCAGTCACTTCCATTTGCGATCAACAATCTACTTCCATTGCAAAAATTCAAGTTGGTGAGTGAAACTTAAACACAATCACTGCCGCCCAAGTAACTATCATTTTTTATAAAAGTTTAAAAAGCTATTTTGCTTAAGAGAAAATTTGATGGAAAATTCTCTAAAATGTATTATCATGTGTTATAGGTATGTGTTATAGGTACATGTTATGTTTATAAAATAAAAGTGACATTTAAATTCTAGCCTCTATGATTGGCTTCACAACTGTGTAAAAAATTTGTTTGAATAATACAAGATGTAGGTGGCGCCACTGTGCAAAGATTTTTTTCGATGACAGGAACTTTTAAATTAATTTTTGATCAAATTATGTTCCATACAAATTTTTGATAAATTCAACATGAAAGGAGATATTTGGGGTTAAGTTTTTTTTTAAATACTTAATTTTAATTATAAATATTTTTAATATGCTTTAGCACATGTTCATTTAATTCTGGTAATAATAATTATAGTGATAAAACGCTCGTGTAGCGCTTACTAGATTTAAATTATTACGTACAGTGACGCCTCAGGGGACCCCTTAACAAATAATATTGGCAAAAAATAATACGCCACTGAGTTTCTGGTAATTTTTATATATATATTTTTTGGAATATATCCTTTTTTTGTCTGTTAAATTGTTTTCAAGAAATAAAAATAAAACCATTTGGAAAACAAAAATCATTAAGAAACAAAACCTTAAATTATTAATACGCTACATTTTTTGCTGTTTAAAAACAAAGGTAAAACATTAAAACATAATAAAATAAAATTAAAGAATGTTTTAAATTTTATGAAAGAGTGGTGAGAAATTAGAACAATACCAAAAACTAACTAATAAGATCGAATGAGGTATTCAAAATTATTGCCGTTTTTATACACACATATCAAATCGATATAATAATTTGGTTCTGCAAAATCTCAATACTTAGTGTATTTTGATTAATAGTGGCTATAGTAACATACATTTTGTTGTATAGGTCAGCCATGTCTTCTATTGGTTCCTTGTAGACTTCATTTTGTAAGCCGCCTCATAAATAAAAGTCAGGGGACCTTGCTGGCCATCTAAGATCCCCATTTGTGCTGATCACTTTTCCTGGACACGTCATTTAGATGATTCATAACGATATTGCTATTGAGTGCTGGGGCACCGTCTTGATGAAACCACGTAATATTTACGTCAATTCCTAAATCTTGTAACAGTAAAGTGAGATCGTTTTGCAGAAATTGTAAATAACGAACTGAAGTTAAATGTTCATGGTACAAATAGGGCCCGACTATGTAACCATTTACGTACAATACCTCACCAAACATTTACCCCAAATCGTGTTTGAAATTTAGTCTGTCGTATCCAGTTAGGGACCAGTAGCGACAATTATGTTTACTCTATTATTGTAAAACCGGGGTTAGTCACTCCACATAATTTGGTTTAATAAATTTGGATTTTCTTCCAAAAGAATATGAAAATGTGTCAAAAAGTTTAATCTGCGCTGGTTATCTCCTTATTGTAGATGATGCACTAGATGAACCTTGTATGGAAAAAACATATTTCCTTTTAGGAACTTACTGAAATATTGGTTTCATCTTTTAATATTGAAATATTAGTTTCATCTTTTAATTTTCGTAATGACGATTGTGGGTTATTTTTTACTGATTGGAGGACTAAAGCTACATTTTCATCAGTCGTATCCCTCTTCCTTCTTGGAACGGTTTCCTTTTTAAAGCTACCATATGTAGCTAAGTTGGTACACAAAGCTACAAAAGAATTTCGATCTGGCGTTGGTCTCGATAGCAGCGCACGGCTTCTGAAGCATTTTGATGTCATTCTCCATAAACTAAAACCATGTATGTTCAATTTGTCTTGATTTGTATGGTGAACCATTTTTATGTTAGAAATGTAGAAATTGCAAACTCTTACAGTGACACCAAGTGAAGAAAAATTTACTTGATGTTTCTAACATTCATTTGTTTTTATTTAATAATTATTGTTTTCCAGAGATATGAAGTGAAATGGTTTATTTTTATTTCTCGAAAACGAAGCAAGATATGAAAACTATTCAACAGACGAAAAAGGATATTTTTAGTTGCATAATCCGAAAAATATATAAAAATTACCAGACACTCAGTGGCGTATTATTTTTTGCCAATATTATTTGTTAAGGGGCCCCCTGAGACGTCAGTGGACGTAATAATTTTAATCTAGTTAGCGCTACACGAGCGTTTTATCACTAAAATTATCATTACCAGAATTAAATGAACATCTACTAAAGGATATTAAAATACTCGTTAATTATTAAAAAAAAACTTAACCCCAAATATCTCAGTTCATGTCGGATTTATCAAAAATTTGTATGGGACATAATTTGATCAAAAATTAATTTAAAAGTACCTGCCATCAAAAAAATTCTTTGCATTGTGGCGCCACCTACATCTTGTATTATTCAAAAACATTTTTTACACAGTTGTGAAGCCATCTGGATCACATAAGTGAACCCGTTCAGCGAACCGGTTCAAAAGAACCGTTTGAATCTCAGTTTAAGGCTATTTAATATTAATAATAATTATTTAAATTAATTAATATTAAAAATATATTTTAAACGACATTGACATAAGGGAAATCATCTCATATTTCTGTGGGTTTGTAAAAAATAACCAAAAGTATAAATTTGCCTAACGTAGTAACGCGCCACAGAACACAGAACGCAAGAAGTTCGGTCCCGAATGATGCGACTGACATAGGCACTAACGAGCTGCATTATACAACAGTCATGATCGAACCGCGCTTAGAGAATCGAGATATTTTGGTCAGATCTGGATCACAGAACACAAAACGTACTGCGAACGTTAAAGAGCGCGAGTCGATCTTAGGTCCAGGGATCCGGTTCAGATCTTACCAACATATCTCTCGCTCGTCATGCGCGGCCTGTGCATAGCGAGCGGTAGGTTGCGGACCGGCTCACTGCAGTGAATCGGAGCTTAGAAGTCCTAAGTTAGAACGGCTTGCGCGCGGCCGCTATCAAACACAGTTCTCTGCTTTGTAATTTCGGACCCGTGCACAGTGTGTTAAATTAATTATCTAGCTAGACAAAACCTAATTTTAAAACAACCTGAAATTAAGACAAATTTAATTAAATAAGCTTCTTCAGTTCTCCCTGTTATGGTTTCCATTACTTAGAACGTACTGTAACAGTGTATTCAGTACTATGAAGGTGCCAGTTCCGGGCGTATCATTTTTTATAAATATACTTAGCCGTGTATGTGTAGCAGAAAGGTGGAGTGATTTTGACATTGTTTCAAGTTAAATCAAATTTTGAACTGTGCCGCTATGAATCTAGGTATATATTACTTATTTTTTATAATTAGGGATTTATAATATCAGTAATCAGCAACAGGCTATAGATATAGAAATTCACTTGGTGTTGTTAAATATGGACAATATTTATTAAGCAAGAAGTATTATAATCGAGCAATATCGGGTGCACTATCAATATTTGTTTTGTTTTATAACGTCTACAGATTACTTATGTGCCTTTATTTATTGCCCCAATTTGCCTCTTCTACAGGGTGTAACCAAAAACCGGCTCACTCCTTTTTTACAATTAAATTTTGGAATAGAGTTGAAATTTGGGAGCAATAATAAAGAGTTAATTTATAATTATTTCAAGCTTCAATGGATACCACAAAACTTCCGGTTTCCCCGGAAATAATGCCAACTTTCGTTTTTTCAATGAAACACTTTGCATATCTTTGCATATTTCAAATCAGGAGAAAATTTTATAATTATCTTAATTTTATTTGTAATTTAAGTTTTCCATAAGTGTAATTTTCGTGGAAAACACTAACCGAATTTTTTTGACATTGGTTGGTTTTGATTGGAGAAAACATATGTATTTAAAAAAACATTAGCAGCCACTCTGATGGTATTTAAAAAGTTGAGTTAATTAAAAAAAAACAATTTATAGCAACATTTACTATTTATGCATTTTACTGCAAATTTGGATCGTAAAACTAATTGATTCTCCAAATTGCAGCTTTCTGGATTGAAAACTAAACAAAAATTCAAGGTCAATTGCAAAATGGTAGCGAATGTGCATTTATCGGATTCAAAATTTTCTCCAGATTTCAAATATACAAAAATATACAGGGCGTTTCTTTGGAAAAACGAAAGTTGACCAATTTTCGACGAAACCGAAAGTTTATTTTTTATTACAAGGCGCCGGCCATTTTGTAATTAACGAATTTAATTTCTGCATTTTGGATGTCAGATTTGGATTCAGTGAACCCAAATACCCCGCTTCCAAAGAAAATTTATAATTTTTTATGTCATTTAGGTTTTGTCTAGCTAGATAATCAATTTAACACACCGGTTCGTTTAATTTTCGAGAACCGTTTCACGTAGATCACTTATAAGACCTGGCTCACTGGCGAAAGAAAATCGGCCTATGCGGGGCCCGATAGCGATTAGGCAATGTCTCTTATACTCACACTCATACTACTCATAACGTTGTTGAGTGTATGATTTTAAGTGGAAAATACGTAGTTAAAACGTTGGACGAAAACATTATTTGAATGTATGATTTTAAGTGGGAAATATGTAGTTAATACATTGTCTGGGACACATTGGAAGAATATATTGCTAAATATGTTATAAGACTTCCAACCATACATTCAAACTACTTTAAACTTTTCCAACTAAAAGTTTTTAATTTGGATTTTTTTTAAATTGTTATCCTTTATGATACATTAGTTATAAAAGTAAAATCAAACTCCGCAATAAATTTTTTAAAGTAGAAAATGGGGTTGCTGATGATGACGCGTTTCTTACTGTCTCACTCTAACGGTCTCACTCTAACGGTCTCACTCTAACTTCGACTCGAAATCTCATTAAAAATCGACTATGGCGCCTCCTAGTATTCATTTTCGATTTAGGGGATATTTTAAATTCATTAGACCACGCCTCTTCCCCACTTCTTCACTCACTCAAAATATCAAAAATACGACCGAAATACACAAAACCCACTTTCAAACTAGGTAGGTTAGTACGTTGGAAAATAGTATTGCTAAAAACGTTGTTATAACGTTTTTAATACATTAGTTATAAAAGTAAAATTAAACTCTGAAATAATTTTTTTAAAGTCATAGTTTAAATACTTGAAAATATAAGAAAATATAAAAAATACAAAAAACCTACTTTAAGCTGCAAATTTTTTAAAAGGATTTTTTTTAATCTTTACTTAAAATAATTTTTTATATAAAAAATAAAGCCCCAAAATAAGTAATAAAGTAACAAAAATTTTTGTAAAATAAAAAAATAACATTAAAAAATAATAAATGTATTGTCCATGTTTAAATGGGGTTTGGGTGGTTAGTTCGCTGCTATCCTTGATGGTCTTGAAGTGTTCGTTTTCGTCCGTGTCCGCTGAACATTACTGTGCTGAAAGTTCGGGCGCTGCAGTCCACAATTGTGTGCCCCACTGTGCGAAACCATTCCATTAGTCTAGGGTCGAGAACCATCGATATATAGTTTTTGGTAGTCGGTAATGTGATTACCGATAGTTATAAATAGTTTTTTGTTTATAACGAATTATGCAAATATTATATGTAAAGGAAAGTAAGTAGATAGAAATTATTTGCCCCACTATGCGTAAGCCTTAACTTTATTTTAGTAAAGACTTATAGTGGTGTGTTAGCATTTTTATTGTTGTTGTCTAGGTGACTGCACTTGACTTGACGTCTGTTTAGTTTTGGTACTTGTGTATGTTTTGTGCCGATTTAAATTACAAATAATTAAGTTTGATGTCCTGTCCTGTTGATCGTCTGTGCAATTTCTATTGATGACCTGTCCGGCCTTTTGTCTAGTTGGTGGGCTAAACAGGCCACCAGGCAACTTCCGTCGGGTGGTTTTTTTATTTATACCTACTGAGAGGTCTATAGTGTTGACGATTTCCATGTTTTGTTAGGTTTGGCTTTTTGGGATGGGTTGTCGTTTATTTATAGGTTTTGTCGAATGTTTGTTTGGGGAATAATCTTAATGTTTTTTGTCTGCTCTTATCTGTCAATTTTGTTTAGTTTATGTGTTCTTATTTATGAGTTTATGAGGCTTGTTTGTTGCTTGTTTTCTTATTGGGAACTGATGGAGACTGTTTGTTTACCTGATTACCAGATGGGATTCTTAGTAATTTGTGATTACGAAGTTTGAGTTTTAATTTAGAATTTAGAGTTTAGAATTTAGGTATTATTATTAGGTCGTGCAATTAGGTATTTTACTTATCCGATTAGGCAGACTTAAAGTTCGGTTGCTTTGTCCTTAACGGGCGGTATGTTGTTTCTTGACCTTTGCTGCTCGCTATTTGCATGCGTTGATTGTGTTGGTAATCCAGGAAAGATTATCGTTGTATCCTATCACCTCACTCGCACCTATATAAATTGTTATATTTTAATTTGTATAATATAATACCATTATTTAAATAATATTTTTTAGATTTTGTTCATTGGCAATATTTTTTTAAGTGTATTAAATTTTGTTATTTATACAAAACATTTTTGTGGTGTTTTTAAATTATTTTAATTTTCCATTAATTTTGGCAGTGTAAAATCATACCCAAAATTATAATACAATTATCCCAAGTATTTTCAACGTTGGGTTGGGTTGTTGAGTTTGGGTTGGTTTGGGTAATTCAGTCACGGCGTTTATAAAACACAAATCACACTTTTTTTATACATAAATCCCACATATTTTCCTCTGAGGTTGTCAATTGTTGTAAGGGAATTTAAACAAATATTTAGGTATACCTATTTATAAATGCAGAGATTAATAAGAATTAATGTAATTACATCACTGAGACTCGGGGCGTAAGCAAAGTCATATGAAAATCACATCGTTAGAAAAATGAAACACCCTAGACGTACGTATTTCCAAAGTTTTACAATACCTACATAAATCCCACGTATTTCCAACGTTTTATAATACGTAAATCCGACGTTTTTTATAACATTAGAAACTAACGTTGTCATATAACGTTACAAACCGGGACATTTTAACATAAAATTATACATAAAATTTAGGTTTTTCCAACGTGGGAAAAACGTTGTTTCTACGTAAAATTTCTGCTAGGGGGCTCTTTCCAAATTTTTGCTTCAATCACCAGTTTTCATTGTTGCTTGTTGTTTTAGGTTTTTTCCGCATAGTCGTATTTCCCCTATTCTATGAATGGCACCGTTTCTTGGAAAGCGACCTTTCAAATCACATGATGAATATATTGGAATCCAATAGACAAAAGTGGGAGGAACAAGAGAGAAAAGAAAACGCAGAAGAAACACAAACCGAGTTATCGGACGCAGAACCAGACATCAGCGAAGATGAAGAGGCCACAAAGAGGTCCTCCGAAGCGATCAGTATTATTGAAACTATTCCTCCTCCTCCTCCTCCTCCAAGGGACATAAGAAGACAATCACTAGCAGTTCCAACTTTAGAAAGTACGTTAGGTGTAAGAAGACATTCTGTACCCGTAAATATGGAACAATCACTGCCAAGAACGATATACAGACGCGAAAGCCTACCTCTAAATAAAGGCTCGAAGGCTACCGTTAGTCCTCAGACTGAATCGCGTGCTTCTAGCGGTCTTAGGGAAGAAGACGAAATGCAAAGATTCGGCTCTAGTTCCGACATATCCTCTTCAAGTCCACACTATTCATCCGGTAAGAACAAATGTTTTGGTTACTTTTTTCTTAGAGTGCAATAAAGTGTATAAATATCAGTAGTTTTATGGTATTAAAAAATATATATGTAGTATAAAAAATATTAATTTGAAATAAAACAACAAAATCTTCTGCAATGAACCGGATTCGGTTTTATGTCACGGAGCGCTTTCTTACTCTACAATAACAATACAACAGATTAGCAGCATAAACTAATGTATTGTTTATGTATTTTTAGCTGAAGAACAACCTGAGAGGCCTTTAAGCGCAGAAAATCTATTGCCCGAGCCCACAATAGCATCCATGACAAGTAACGCTGAGGTCGGGCGACTTTCATCGGTACTACAGGGTAATAATCCGCCTGCTAAGTATCTTACTAGACAGCAAACATTCCCACCACCTCAGCCTTTCATGCGCATGAGGTACATGTCTGCTACTGTTGAGATGTCTACTTGCAAGGAAACTGTTCATGAAGGTAATATAAATTTTATAAAGTATTAAAATATTTCAATTTAGATCACAAATTGTTACTCGTAATATCTGATCATATTTTATTAAGTATACTTTTATTGTAGCTTTGTGTTGCAAGAATTGGAAATTAGTCAGTATCAATCAATAACGTAAGAAACAGAAAAGATTTTTGAATTACTTTTAAGATTTTTGATTGATTTGGACTAATATGTACATGACTATTTTATAAATTTAAGTACTAAAATTACAAAGGTCAACAAGTTCTGAAACCAGAAACCAAACTATACTTGTGCCATAGTTTTTGTTGCGCTGAATCTGAATACGGCCTCAGATTGCTTTACGTCATATTATCAGGAAATTCTAACCTAAACCTGAAACAAAAAACGCTATAAAAACTCATTTCAACTGCCTCGGAGCGCGGTAACAAAAATATTTATCTTTCGATAGGTACTGTAAAAATACAATTTTTTTATTTAACATTTTATATGCATTAATAAAAGTTTGACAAACCATTAAGTTATTTAAAAAAAAGACCAACAAAGATATATTAATATTGATCGTTATAACTTTTATAAAAAATCATAAAAAATATCTAAATTTATATAAAATTAAGTACCTACATCAAGTTTTAGGAAATTTTGACTCTGATGTTTTGTATACCTTCCAATAGACCTATTCTAAAAACCTCATCCAGTTGTTGTCCAGAATGTCGTTCCAGCATCTGACACCTCCTTGCATCGACAGTCGGTGAAATGTATTATAAGTATGTTTGCATTAAGAGCCCGAGCTATGGTGGCACCAGCTGTTGTTAATACCCGTTTCAAACACAAGGATGCATGGAGACTGTTTATTCAAAATGAAAGTTAAAGTTCTTTGTGTTTAGTAGTACCTATGCCTATAGACCAGCCATACTCAAACTGCAGCCAGCCAACCCTTTCTATGCGGCCCGAAGCCTAGCCACATTTTTGAGATTATCATTTTTTTAAGTAGAGGGGTAAACGACTTTTCGAAAGGTCCAGATGGAATTGACATGGCTATTAATTTTTAAAGTTGAGCGTCACTACACATACGCCTATACCGCGCAACTTAAATCGCTTCTCATGTAAAATTTGCGCCACATATGCAAAAATGCGTACAGATGTCGGCTAACTGATTCACACCTTGACGATGTGTTTAGAGTAGCATGTTGCCGGATTTAAGTAAAATTTTCAAAAGTTGCCCACCATTTCGACAATCAGAATGTCATTTATTTTAAAAACGGTTAAATGTTTAGTTTTATTGTAATATAGGTCATTGCGGCCCGCCTAGCAGCTGCTGTAGTAGTCATACGTATTTGGTCCAAGAAAAAAAAAGTTTGAGTAAGGCTGGTCTAGACTAAACTCTAAGGTAGTATTTTTGTACTTTATAATCTGTGTGTACTTGTACATACCGTTTCTCATTCATACCTGTTACAAAATAGCAGATCCAGTTCTATATATGGAACTGGATCTTCTGTGACTATAGTCACATCTCTATGCCAAACTCATAAATTTCTTTCTAAATGTTCCACTGAGAATAGAGGATTTCGATTTAGAAGAAGAGTCGCTAAAGTAAACTTTTATATAATTCAGAGAAACGCCTGGAAAGTATAAAACGGTTGTTTGTCTAAAAAATGATTTTTAACATTTGATATATCAAGTCTGGAAAACAAAAAAATCCTAAAATATTAAATAATAGCTAATATTAGAGACAGCATCTTTGGTAATACTTTATTTTTGTAAATTAATTGTTTTTTTTAGACAGTCAGTCTAGTTCTTCACAAAGCTCACGCGAAAACATATCAGCAAATAACAAAACTCAATACACAATACCTTCCATAGCAGTGTTGAGTCCAAACAATAGTCGGCCGCCAGATTTTCTATTACCAGAGGGTCCTGCGCCGCAAAAATCTTCATTTGCAAATAATAAAAGAGAAACAGAGGCTGCAGATAAAGAAAAAGTTTGCAAGATGGTGAAACTTACTGAACCGGGACAGAGATATGAAAAGGAAAACGTGGATCCTAGAAGGACCAATGGGGTAAGATGCAACATTTATTTAAATATGATTGATTTGTTTAAAAGGTTTTTATTCTGCCTTTTTACTGATTTTGTTTCAAAACATTACACATGAATAAGTAATGAACTTTTTTACGTTTTAGAGTTTATCAAAAAGACGTGGATCGGCCCCGGTTTCATTACCATTGGCAAAACCGGATGAGAATATGCCCCCTGCAGGCGGGGGGATGGATTCTGACACGCAGTCTTTACGTAGAGGTTCTGTGCCAATTGAAATTGCTCATTATCGTAAGTACCTACCGCTTAAACTATTTAAAGTGGTTGGCAACCACTGGTTGCTATGTATAACTTTAGGATAAAGTGTATTTTCAAATATTTATAAATAAATAAGTAGGTAGTCATATCATGTCAAGTCGTTTTTAAACGTATAATTTTAATATCAATATTTAAGAAATAAAATGATCCCAAGGTGTTTTTAAATTAATTACATTCATTTTAAAACAGGAAAGAATAAGTTATTTCAGCAAATATACCTATATAGGTGAAAGAGAGGTTTAGATTTTTTTAAATCTCGAGTTTCATGTTTTAAAATGAAAGTAATTAATTGTTCTTCAAAGTAATTATTTATAATAATCTTAGAACTATAATTTAGAAAACAATTAGATTTGGGATTGCTAAAATACTAAAACCATTGACTAACCATTGACTACTTCTTCCCTCAACGCTAAAACTATAGTTGATACCTATATCTCCGAGAAAAGGAACTTAAGCCCAAAAAATCGATTTCTGGATTATGATAGCTATCGATTAATTAAAGACTGATCTTTAATTATCTGAAGTTGGAAATATTTTTCCTTAAATATTTTGCAATGAAGAATCATTGTTAAACATTATCCGTAACTTTATGTTTAATAGCGCGCTCGTCTGTTCTTTCTACTCTAAAATTACCTTTATATATATATTGAGCTAAGAAGCTACACCATACAAATGCAAAACTCAAATGATGCTCGAACGGTGCACCGCCGCATTGCCACCGCGATGTGCCTTCGCGACGCGTCGCCTCTGCAAAATATGCCCATCTTCTTCAATGCTTTCAAATGCACTCGGCACTGTATACTTTTAGTACGAGAAAAAAGTTTATGGTTCCCAAATAAAAAGAATAATTAAATATGGGACAGAAGCATTGTTTATTATCCTAAATATATTTTTATTCCTGACATAAAGTTTTACTAAAGTTTTATCGTTATTATTTCGACTATTTAGAGGTAATAAACAATATATTCACTATTAATAAAAAGTATTAGCTACACAGTTTATTTGTTCCATTTTTTCTCAGTCTATAAAAAGGTTAATAGGTATACATTGTATACAGGGGCGTGCTGGCTATATCAGACCGGCCCGGGAAATTCAGAAAAATCGGCCAACTACACACGAAAAATGGGGGGTGAACAAAACCAAGTTAAAAAATTTCAAACATTTATAAATATATTAATAATTAATAACATAAAGTATACATTAAATTCTTGAAAAAAAAACAGACAACAAACACAACCAGACAATATTTTACACAATGCTAAAACATATAGCATTGCACTTAAAATAAAAACTAATACAAATTATCATCGCTCAGGAAACTTATAAACAATATACAATCTTGAAAAAAGAAACAAAGCTGGCAGGCTGGCATGCATGGTATGTGTAAAATAATTATGATATTTATACATAACTTAACTAAAAAAGTTTTTAATTGACCACGTGCTGCGGCATGCTGCCTACATAGCCCTCCGGCACACCGGCCCACTTAGCCCTCCGGACCACCGGCCCACCGGGATTTCTCCCGGTGTCCCGGCGGCCCAGCACGCCCCTGATTGTATATGTATATTATGATGTGACAATTGTTTAAACAAGACGATATCGTTTTTTATCGATGTAGCATGAAATTTCTTATACCTATTATGCCGAAATCAAAATTCAGTAAAAATACTAACTCTTAATTTTTACAATTATATTATTAAGAAGCATTAAATTATATACAAAAAATTTCTTTGAATCAAGTTTATATCGATAATAAATCACTTAGTAAAATACATACAAACTGTACTTTTGTTAAAAACACGCGTTTTTAAGATCTAAAAACTAAACTTTTGATGATAGATTGGAAAATTAAATTTCAATTTTGTGTTTTAAATTTATTGGACTAAACTATAGTTATATATTGATGATGGGTCAAAAAGGTAAATTGCCATTTCGTAGTAGGTACTGTTAATTTCGTACAAAATTGTCTTAAACAAATTTAGAATGGTAAAAAAGTGTGTCTCCGAATTTCATCCAAAAGTTTTAAGAGGTAATTTCACAGCGCAAAATATAGAAAATGCTTTAGCATTTACATTTCATTTTTTATCTCAAATAAATATTCATTTAATGCCCGTATTACAGTCTGCAATTTTACGTGCAATACGCAATACTTTGGCATAAAGGCATGCGCATAGCGACGTTTCAAGCAAGTCTATTACACTGAGAAAAAAATGGGACAAATAAACTGTTTACCTAATACTTTTATTTGTAGTGAATATATTGTTTATTACCTCTAAATATTCGAAATAATAACGATAAATATACTTTAGTAAAACTTTATATGTCAGGAATAAAAATATATTTAGGATAAATAAACTGTACCCTTGTCCCATATTTAAATTTTTTTTTTATTTGGGAGCAATAAACTTTTTTCTCCGTGTGCCGTTTCAAAATATCGGCCCTGCTCTATTTTTATTGCCGGTTGCATGCAAGTCTGGGGGAAAAGTTGGTAACTTTTTTCAAACCAATCCACACTTGAAATTCCCTAGAGACGCTGGTTTGTTTTTTTAAGTCATTTGTATGTTGTTTCTTTGTATTCTAAACTGTATTACATAATATAGTTAATGATTAAAGTATTAAAATCTTAACTAATGACGTCACAATAACTACACCATACAACTATTTGGCCCAGCTAGTTATTCAACATGGTTAATATTATTTCCACAGAATATATGTGTATTCTGTGGTATTTCTACAACTAATTTCTCACCATACAATAATAACAATAATTTACGTACTTATAAACGTTAAAAACTGCCTGAATCGAGGCTATAGTAAACAGCAGAAATATAAATATTTATACGTTATTAAAAGTTTTAAAAATTTAAAACGTTAAAAACATAGAAAATCTAGGTTATGAACCAACTGCAGTAAAGATGTCAAAACTTTTGACTCCAAAGTTAAAAACCATGGTTAATCAAATTAACTTTGACGTCATAACTTCCCTATTAAAAATGCCATATAGATATATATACACAAAATAAAAATCTATATGGTTCTATCTGGTTCAATATAGGAATTTGATACAGGCATTGCACTAGTGCTATTGAACTAGATAGAATTCCATTCATGGAAAACCAAATAGAAAAGTGATTTCTATCCCTGCTTAAAATACCCCATAGAGACCTATACAAAATATTCTATAGGGCGCTACCGGTTTCAATATGTGCATTTGTCCAAGGTTTTTTCCGGATACAGCCCGATAGAAAATGTATAGGAAATTACCTATAGACACACCATAACTGGTGTAACTTGAGATTTATGGTTGTTCTATAGGGATATCCACCATTGATTTATTTGCTATCGGTTTCAATGGGGAAAATACACATAAATGTAGAAATTAGTTTTTTCCCTATAGGACCCCATAGGTTTTAATAAAATTTTGTCAAATGTTTTATGGTTGTTCTATAGGGATATCCCTATATATCCTTCATTGAGTTATTTTCTCTCGGTCTCAATAGGGAAAATGTAAAAGTTATGGTGTGCCTATAGGTAATTTCCTACACATTTTCTATCGGGCTGTATCCGGAAAAACCTTTCAATTTTTGTATAACTATCTCCAAGGTTTGGCCGTGTGTTATTAGAGCGGTGTCGTCGGCAAATTGCAGCATGTAGGACGTATGAGAGAAGTAATGTATGTCTTTAAATCGGTGATGGTAGATGTCAGCGCAATAAACATTATATAAAAAAGGTGAAAGTGGAGATCCTTGGGGTAGCCCTTGTTGAGTAACAAATGAATTGGAGAAGTCATTGCCAATTTTAACCCTTAATTCTCGATTTTCTAGAAGTAGGCGTACTATATTAATAAGGTGAATGGGGCAGTCCATTAGATGTAGTTTATACAACAATCCTTTAATCCATACACTATCAAAGGTCTTGCTTATATCCAAAAAAACAGCGGCAGATTTAAATTAGTTTAATTTGGATGTTTCCACATTGTTTAGTAGAATTGTAAGCGGATGGATGGTTGACATATGAGGTTTAAATCCAAATTGATGTCCAGGAATTTTTTCTAGCAGTTTATGCTTTAATAATTTTTTCATAACTTTCTCAAAGTTTTTTCCAATTACTGGCAGTAGCATAATTGGCCTATAATTGGAGGTTAGGGTGTGATCGGTATTGGGTTTTGGCACTGTAATTATGATACCTTTTTTCCATTCGTTGGGAATATGCTGATGTTTGATGCAATATTTGTAGATTTTTATTATATATTCCTAAATCCGGAAGTCTAGCTTTCTGAGTATGTTTCTGGTAATATTATCATGTCCCGGTGCAGAATTTTTCCCCGATTCTAGAATTTCGTAGTAATTGTCCTCTATAAATGTATCCTCATCCGAAGTCGGAATCATATCATTAAAAAACAGTATGGACCAGTCATCTACAACCCTGTAATGATTACCATCAAACCTGAAATCGTTGGTTTCCTTGAAGACTCGTTCGAAATTTTTAGAGAAAATCTCGCACTTCTCTCGGTCAGTATTATAGGTTACCCCTTGCTCTATTATTTCGCTGTTCTTAAGTGCAGATCTTTTATATTTTGAAAGTTTCTTAATATCTTGCCACTAAAATTTGCCTTTTTTTAAATTTATTTCTCGACATACTTTTAAAAAACAATTACTTCTATATTCCCAAATCAGATTTTGAATGTTTTTATTAAAAACGATCATGCTAGTCTTTAAATTGGGGTCTCCTAGTTCTCTATATTCCCTATACATTTTGCGTTTTCTTTTTATAAGTTGTAATATAAACGGAGGTAATATGTAGTTGTAAAATCTTTGATTAATTTTGGGTGTATTTTGTAAAATAGAATTTGTTTAAATATATATATATACATTTTAAAATGGAATTCCATATTCAACTATATAAGGAAACCTATATGGAAAGACACATAAAACAGAAACCATATAAATCTAATGTCTAAGTTGTACATTTTA